GAAGGGATGTGGAGTGGGTAAGGAGGAGGAGGAGGAGGAGGAGGAGGAGGATAACGAGGAAGAGGAGGAGGAGGAGGAGGAGGAGGAGGAGGAGGAGGAGGAGGAGGAGGAGGAGGACGGAGAGGAGGAGGAGGAGGAGGAGGAGGAGGAGGTTGAGGAAGGTTGGGGAGGAGGGAGTGAGGAGGGAGGGGGGATGGAGGAGGAGGGAGGAGGATGGGGAGGAGTGAGGGAGGGAGGGAGGAGGAGAGGGGCGGAGGAAGATGCGGAGGGAGGGGGGAGGGGTAGGAGGCTTGACGAGGCCGTCGAGCGCAGAGCTGGCCCGGAGGACGAATCTGGCTCTGGTGACTCCGTCGGGCACTGTGGGCAGTTGCTGCGAGGGCACCTGTGCAGAGCGGGGTGGTTCAGTCTCTCTCTCTCTCTCTCTCGGGGTGGGCGCCCTCGTTGGCTGTCTCTGTCGCCCCCTCTGTTTAATCAAGGAGTTCCTCCTCCTCTCCTCCTCCCTTCTCCTCCTCCTCCTCCTCCTCCTCCTCCTCCTCCTCCCTTTCCTCCTCCTCCTCCTCCTCCTCCTCCTCCTCCTCCTCCTCCTCCTCCTCCTCCTCCTCCTCCCTTCCTCCTCCTCCTCCTCCTTCCTCTCCTCCTCCTCCTTTTCTCCCTTCCTCCTCCTCTTCCTACTCCTCCTCCTACTCCCGTCGGTCCCGTTCGGCCTCCCGCCGTGGCCCCCTTGGTCCGCTCGCTCCTGGGGTTGGGGGGTGGCCGCGTGTGTGTAGTTCCTGGTTCGTGTCACGCATGTGCTCGTCCATTTTTCTTTGTGGCGCAACAATGCACATTGCTCATCAGCTGCGTACTCCTCCTCCTCCTGCTCCTGCCTCCTCCTCCTCCTCTTCCTTCTCCTTCCTCCTTCCTCCTCCTTCCTCCTCCTTCTCCTCCTCCTTCTTCTCCTCCTCCTCCTCCTCCTCCTCTTCCTCCTCCTCCTCCGTCCTCCTCCTCCCTCTCCTCCCCCTCCCCCTCCTCCTCGTCCTCCTCCTCGTTCTCCTCCTCCTCCTGGCCGTCTCGAGGACTCGGCTGGGCCCAGGGAGGATCGGCCTCTGCCCGCCCTTGCCGGCGCCGCCGACGCGCGGCGCGGCTCGGGAGGCTGGCGGGGGCACGCTGCCTTGGGCGTCCTCGGTCCCGGGGCGCGGGGCTGGCGCTGGGAAGCCGGGGCTCAAGGGACGGGGGTCGGTGCAAACGGGGGGTCAGTCATAGGGCATAGGGGGCACAAACAAAATGACATAGGCGTACAAACTCGGAGGTCCAGCGCGGCTTCCTCGGATCGGCGCTGGAGCCAGCTGAGGCATCTGGGCCCTGGGCGGTTTTTCCCCGCCGTGGCCTCGGGCCTGCGGCGGCCGTCCAGGACGCTCCGGGTCCCAGAAGCACGCGCGGCGAGGCGCAGCTGCTGGAGAACATCCCGAGGCCGGAAGCCTGCAGGGACCTACGAAAAGCAATGGCACTTGGCGTTGGGAGGGCTGAGCTTCCCGCCCGCTGGAGAGCATCCGGCGGCTGGCTGGAAGGCCTCGGGCAGCTGCGACAGGCCCCCAAACCTCGGAGAAGGTCCACGGCCTCGACCGCTGGAGAGCATCCCGACGCCCTAGGGCTTCGGGGATCTGCCGAGAGGCTTCATGTTTCGGAAGGCCCACAGCCTCGACTCCGCCACACAAACACACAGACACACAGACACACAGACACACAGACACACAGACACACAGACACACAGACACACAGACACACAGACACACAGACACACAGACACACAGACACACAGACACACAGACACACAGACACACAGACACACAGACACACAGACACACACACAGACACACAGACACACAGACACACAGACACACAGACACACAGACACACACAGACACACAGACACACACACACACAGACACAGACACACAGACACACAGACACAGACACACAGACACACAGACACACAGACACAGACACACAGACACACAGACACACAGACACACAGACACACAGACACACAGACACACAGACACACAGACACACAGACACACAGACACACAGACACACAGACACACAGACACATCCGTAACCATTTCGGCTCATGTGCTGCTCCTCGGGCGCGCGCGGGCGCGGGCTCGGCGCGCAGGAGGCGCTTCTGGGCGCGGATGGCGACGGTCGGCTGCATGGCCGCCTGCGAGGCGGTGGAGCAGCCAGGGCGCGCAGCTGGGGGTTCTCTCTGGCCTGCGCGGAGGGCGCGGCGTGCGGCTGCGCAGCAGGCGGCTAGCGGGAGGCTGGCTGCCGCCCTGCGCCGCGTCACGGAGCTCGAGGCCACCATCGTCGCCTTGCAGGCCCGCGTCGCTGCTGAGGAGGCTCGGCACGTGGCGGCGGCGGCCCAGGCGGTGCGCCTCGCGGAGCTTGCGGGCGGCATCCCGGAGCCTAACGCGGCGCTCGCGGACGAGCTCGCGACCAGGATGGCGCTCGCCGCGCCGATCCTGGAGGGCGTCCTGGCTGGAGAGCCCGACGGCGCAGGGACGGCCGTGCGTGCCTTGTGCCGAGCGCGGCGCAACACGGGCCTGCAACGCGCGGCCGTGCCAGCCGCCGCCATCAGGCGGGCGGAGCTGCCGCAGCTCAACCGCTGGCAGCGGCAGGGCGTAGGCAGGCATGGCGGCAGCAGGCGGAGGTTGGGCAGCAGGCGTGGGTGCCGCGCGGCCGCGCCGCCGACGGGCCGTCGGCAGCCTGTGGCTCGGCCCCTCCTGCAGGATGCCGACGTCGAGGCGAAGCTCGTGGCGGACGTTATCGTGAGCGTCTCCGATGAGGTCGGCGACGGGATCGTGGGGGCGACCTTCGATGGCGATGACGGCGGCGTCGACGAGAAGAGCGAGCCCACGGTCGAGCTGGAGGCGCTCGCGGGGCGGCTGGGCGCGCTGGTGGAGGGCGCCGAGCCCGCGGTCGAGCTGAAGGGCGACCTGGCGGCGCTGTCCGTGCGGCAGGGCGCGCTCGAGGAGAGCGCCGAGGCCAAGTGCGAGCTGGAGGCGCTCTCGCAGCGGCCGTGCGCGCTGGAGGCGACCTCGGAGCAGCTGGTCTCGCAGAAGGTCGACCTGGCGGCGCTGTCCGAGCAGCAGGGCACGCTGGCGGAGGGCGCCGAGCCCATGGGCGAGCGAGAGGTGCTCTCGAGGCCGCTGAATGCGCTGGAGGCTCTGTGCGAGCAGAGGGAGGCGAAGATGGCCTCCCGCCACGCGTTCAGCGAGAGCTTGTTCTACTTCCTGGACGATTTCACGGTGGCGGCGATGATATGCGTGGCCATTGGGCCCAAGTCGGGAGTTGAGTCTCTCCTGAGCTCGGCCGAGGCCCGCTTCATCGACGTCAAGCCCGGTAGTGTAGGCTGGCCAGATGCCGAGGAGCGCGAGCGTATCCTCGAGGGCCGCTTGCAGGTCGTCCAGATGCCGAGGGGCGTGAGGGGCCCCCTCGATGAATGAGGCAAGCAGTTGCATTCCGTGTGTAGCGCTGTTTTGCCTGTGAGTGAAGACTCCTGTGTCCAGTCGCAGTCGAGTTCACTGTGGGCGGTGGCCCAAGGCGGCCCCGCTGGGAGGACGAGCTGTGCAAGCATGTTTGGGGCGTTTCCCGTCGCGTGTCTGCACTGGTGTTTTTATTCCAGCGCTTCGCGCTGATGCCCCTCGACGGGGGGCTGAGCTGACAGGCCGAGCGGTGCCTCGGGGCCGATGTGCCCGGGTGGCTGCCTTCTGCGGCTCGTTTGGGCTCTCGGGTTCCCTTGTGGCCCGCCCCCTGTCTTGGGATGGCCCCTCGTGGCTTTCGCCCCTCAGTGGGGCCTGGGCCCTCTGTGGGCTTCTTTTTTGCCATTATAGGCCCCGCGCCAACAGACACACAGACACACAGACACGCAGACGCACAGACACACAGACGCACAGACACGCAGACACACAGACACGCAGACACACAGACACACAGACACACAGACACACACGCTAACATCAACACACGCACACACTAACATCAACACACCAACACACGCGCCAACACGCACGCACCAACGCACACACCGACACGCAGCAGACGCAACGCACACACCACGCAACACACAACGCACAACACACATATGACACAACGCACAACACACAACACGCGCACACCACATGCGCACACAACACACACCCCACACACACCACACGACACACCCCACGCAACACACAACACGCACACCAGCAGACTACGCACAACATACAACACACCGCACACAACACGCAACACATTCAGCGCACCCATCACACCCAACACACCCAACACACCCAGCACGAGCGGCACACGCAGCACTCGCATCACACCCAGCGCGCCCAGCACATGCAGCACTCGCTGCACGCGCGTGCACACGCGCATTCACACATACCACACATACAGACATCGAC